TTCTTAATACTTAATGTAGTAAAAATACATCAAATACCTTCCACACAGGACATTTCATGCTTATATTAGATCTTGGGGGGGGGCATTGTTCTTTTTAAAATAGTGTTTTTATTCTTTGAGAATTTCATATAATGTATTTTAATCGTATTCACATTCCTCTCCCAACAGCTCCCATAGCCACCCCTCCACCCTGTCCTCTCCATCCTCCCAACTTTGAGTTTTCTTCCTCAGTCCGATCCAGCTCATGTTGCCCAACTCCTCTTGGGAATGGGACCTTCCCTAGAGCGTGGTCGAGCTATCAGGGATCACATCCTTAAAGGATACCGAGTCTCCGCTCTGTAGCTATCAATTGTCCATAGCTCCTCAGGTGGGATTTTATGTCCACTTCCCTTCTCCCTGCTGGGATCCTGTCTGGCATGGGGTTGGTACAGTTCTCATATACGCTGTAACCATCACTGTGGGTTCATACACGCAACTGCCATGTTGTGGGTGGAAAAAACGGTTTTCTTATCATTGCCTCAGGCTCTTGCAATCTCTCAGCTCTGCCCTGCTTTTCCAAAGCTACCTGAGCTTTGATGGGAGGGGTGGGGTGAATACCTGCCGTTTAAGGCTCACCAGTCCACAGGCTCCTGTTCTGTGCTCATGGACCATCGTGAGGTTCTCTGTGTCAATTGCTGTCTGCTGCAAGGAGAAGCTTCTAGAATGAGGGCTGAGAGATGCATTCATTTTCCATTGTTCTTAATGAAAACATAGAATTGGCCTTTATCATTTATCTTTAAGCTCTCTTTGGATGCTCTTACTATGTGTGTGTGGTGTGTGTGTGTGTACATGCATATGTAAGTGTGCATGCATACACAAGCACATGTGAAGGCCAGAAGGCAGCTTCTGCTTTTATTCCTTTATTCTGCCAAGCTTTGGGTCTTACTGTGATAAGCTGGGCTAGACTGGCCAACAGGTTCCAGAGATCTGCCTGTCTTTACCTTCCCATTGCTGGGATTACAAACCCACATTACCATGCCTGACTGTTCTTTTGTTTGTTTTCTTGATCTAAAACACAAGTAGGTTCTGGGGATTAAACTCAGGCTTCCATGCCTTTAAGGCAAACACTTCACTGACTGAGCTATCTCCGCACCCCACTGTCCCTGTTTTCCATGGTTTACACCGACTCGAAATCTTTGTCACTGTCCTGTATGGGAGACAGAGTGCTTAGGCGCTGAAATGATGGCACAGATGGCAGATTCTGCATCCCAGGCCCAGCTGATGTGACACCCTAACTCCCCTTTTCTAGTGGGATCATGAAAACAGATCTAGCTTTGTTACCACCTTATTTTGCCCTGTGTCACTTCCAAGATCAACGGCAGTAGAAAGTAAAAGCACCATACTTAGTGTCTGAGAACGCAGAGTAGGAAACATGGAATTAATGCCACGTTTTTCCTAGCATCCAGTGGGCACGAATGGAAAGAATGGTTGATGCTGGAAGGTCTCTGATACCCACAGAACATCACGACACATGGATAAGTTGGAGATCTGAATTGAGAGATGCCACGCTTGCCAGAGTGCTCTGTTGTCCTGCAGGGTGAAGGTCAGAGAAAAGACAGAGGGTCAGGGCAGCCCCTGAAGTGCTTCATTCCCTAGAAATTCTGAGAGCATCTGAGGAGGGAGAGAAAAGGTGCTTGGTGGTGTGCTAGAAGGCCAAGTAGGACATGGTATGAAAGCCAAGAATAGGATGCTGAAGGCAACAGCAAGCGCCCTCCCACCTAAGACTGCAGAGGTGATGTAGAAGGGTCTTTATCTATCTGTTGTTTCATTGGTTGATTAATAAAGAAAACTGCTTGGCCTGATAGGTCAGAACACAGGTAGGCGGGGAAGACAGAACAGAATGCTGGGAGGAAGAAGGCAGCGAGGTAAGACGCCTCAGCCAGACGTGATGGAGCCAGCCGCCAGGTCAGACATGCTGAATTTTTCCCGGTAAGTCATCACCTCGTGGTGCTACACAAATTATTAGAAATGGGTTAATCAAGATATGAGAAATAGCCAAGAAGAGGCTAGAACTAATGGGCCAGGCAGTGTTTAAATGAATACAATTTGTGTGTTGTTATTTCGGGTGTAAAGCTAGCTGTGCGGGAGCCGGGTGAGACGAAAAGCAGGCCTGCTTACCTCATCACTACACAGAGGGACACAGACATCTCACCAAGCATGGACATAGATGGATGATCATGTCTGAAGAAAGTACATGACTAAATGTATGCTGCATGGATGGCAGTGTGAACAGAAGCCAAAATTCAGAGCCACAGACTGATGTGGGATTCCCCTCTGTCTGCTGTTAATATGTTTTATTGATATTGGTTAAGAAAGAAACTGCTTTCAGCCAATGACTTAACAGAATAAAGCCAGGCAGAAAATCCAAACAGAGATGTACAGAGAGAATAAGTGGAGTCAGAGAGATGCCACGTAGCTGCCTAAGGAGAAAGATGCCTTCAGGAGCCTGTTGGAACCTTGCCAGTAGGCCGCAACATTGTGGTGATGGGTTAGTTTAAGATATAAGAGCTAGCTAGCAATACTCCTAAGTGATTGGCCAAGCAATGTTTTAATGAATACAGTTTCTGTGTGGTTATTTAGGGTCTGGGAGACTGGGAATGAACTAGCAGTCTCTGTCTATAGCAGACTTCCTGATGCTTCTCAGCTGACACTTGGAAGGAAGGAAGAGGTGATCTTGAATCCACCAGGGCCGTGCTTGGCAAGGCTGTGCCTTCTCAGTCAGGTTGCTGTATGATTCTGTAGACTGCCTCTAGCATGAGACCTCTAGAGACATGCTGACTCAGAATAAGCCCAGAGATTCTTTGTGGGCCTGTGAAATGTACTAACCACAGTTATGTCTGACTAAACACCACTTCTCACTTCATACTTGGTCAAATTTGAGTTTATTCAATGACTTAATAGCATTGAGAACGATGAGAAAAGCTCAAAATCTCTAGATAGGATTTCTATGGCTAAGTAGTGCTGGAAGAAGTGGTTTATGTTTGTAATCCTAGCACTCAGTGTCAGAGGCAGGAGGATTGCCATGATTTTGAGGCAAGCCTGGGCTACAAAGTAACAACTTATTTCAAAAACAACACAAGAAGAGAGACAATGGACGTCTTGTTGGCATCATGTGCTCTTCGTTTCTATACCAACAATTTGGTCCTTCCAGCAGATGATGTGAGCCACTGGTCCTTCCAGAGGATGCTGTGAGCCACTGGTCCTTCCAGTGGTTGCTGTGAGCCACTGGTCCTTCCAACAGATGCTGTGAGCCACTAGTCCTTCCAGTGGATGCTGTGAGCTACTGGTCCTTCCAGCAAATGCTGTGAGATAATGGTCCTTCCAGCAGATGCTGTAAGCCACTATTTCAGATCAGAAAACGAAGACTCTGGGAATCTAAGATGATTTGGACCAAATCACAGTGTCAGGCACAAGAGCCAAGGCTTTTTAAAAAGCACTTATTTATCTAATTTACAGTGCTGGAGATGGACCCCAGGGCACGCTAGGTGAGTACTCTGCCACTAAGCTAAATCCTGAGCCCCGAGAGCCAGCCTTTAAAATCCAAGTCCCAGGCTCTCTCCTTATTGTACAAGGCCCTAATTTTGCCATCCTAACCAGGTGTGGAGTTGGCCGTTTTTAGCAGAGCACTCACCGTGGAGACTCAGAAGCTGTTTCAGTTGACCATGGTGACGAACCCATTTGAGTCACCCAACTGGTAGGACAGTCCTAAAAGGAAGACAGGAGTTTTCAGATTGGGCAGATTATTCCCTGCTATTCCTTTTCCTAATGTATGACTTAAGAATATTCTAGTCTTTTACCTCTGCTCATATATTTCACCCCTGTAAGTCAGACAGGCTCTGGAGTGTGTGCTATGAACCAGAAGGTCAGGGGCAGAGGATTCTGGTTACTGATTCAGGTAGAGAGAAATTGCCTATGAAGGAAGTAGTAGTTAAAATCCAACAGATATTTAGGTAGAAGGCATTGTGCTAAGCATGTCATAAATAAGACTACAACAATATGAAGAAAATCCCTGCCTTGAAAAGCTTATGGGCCTATGCTGGTTAGCTTTTATCAACTAGACACAAGCTACAGTCATCTGGGAAGCATGAACCTTAACTGAAAAAACAAAATGTGTCTATCAGATTGACCTGTAGACCAACCTGCGCGGTGTTTTCTTGATTAATGATTGATGTGGGAAGGCCGGTTCATTCTGGGTGGTGCTACGCCTGGGCAGGTGGTCCTGAGTTGTGTAGAAAGCAAATCCAGTTAGTATCATTCCTTTATGGCCTCTGCTTCAGGTCCTGCCTCCACGTCCTGCCCTGCTTGAGTTCATGCCATGACTTCCCCCCAATGATACAGGCTGTAAGGTGAAATAGACCCTGTGTTTATCACAGTAATGGAAAATAAACTAGAATAGGCCATGGAAGAAATCAGACTGGAAGGCAAGCAATAAGGACCAAGGCAGAATGTATTGAGTGTTGATAAATGCACACACTTAATGAGCACTATGGGAGTTAGAGATGAAGGATGTGTAGATCACTGTAGACTAATGGGGAATGTCAAGAAAAGGAGAGAGGTAGAAGGTGGGCATCGAGTGATAAACAGGATTCTTGAGGCCTTTTGCATTGGGGACAGCCATTTGCTACAGGAGATGACACCCCAGGGAGGCTCTAGGCTCCTCCTAGCTTTTCTTCCCCGAGGGCCTAGAGGCGTCCATTTGCCAGGCCAGGAGCCAGTACACAGCTAAGGACTGACTTCCAGCTGCTCTAATGGGATGTAGCTAACAGGTCAAACCACTCTTGCTCCCCAGAGCAAACATGCAAGACGCCAAAGCAAACGTGTTGCTGTGTCCTGCTCTGGACCCCTGCCAGTTAGTTCAAGCTGGAGAAGAGCATCAAGTTGCCAGGCCACTCCCACCAGGGAGCCTGGAGAGGATATAAAGCTGCAGCTTGAGGCTAGCCAGGAGCTGGAAGCCCCCCAACATGGGCTGCCACACCTGCCTACTTTGGCTGCTGTTCTTCTGCGGTGTGATTCTTCCTGAAGCAGGTACACAGCCAATACCCCAGGGCTCTTTATACAGCTAATGCCTTGTAACAAACTGGAGAGAGAAAGTGTGGTTATTTGTCCCTTGTCCTCTGAGGCCCCAGCTTACAGTTAAGCAAGGGAGTGACGACTCTCTTTACCATAATCCGAGCAGTGATGAGATCCTGTTGTGACCAGCTGCACACCACCTTGATCCAGTTTATGGGAATCGAATCAAATATTTTATGGGAGATTTGTTTTTTTTGTGATCAAAGCATCAGTCAGTTGACTGTTTTTGTAGACCGTGTGGCTCTGTTTGTAGGATTCTGGAGGGAAATAAAGAAGGCTATTGGCCTAGATGAACCAATGAAGGACCCTTAAATGTTCTTTGGCTCATGTGTTCATATTTTGGTGTCTAGCACTCCCTAAGAATATTGTATTATAGCTGGTATTTCTTTTCTAGTGTTGAATAGCTCTGGAAAATGCCAGTTAAATACCCTGACTTGAAATATTTGATATGACATAAAATTATCTGGATTTGACTTAAAAAGGTTTCTTTCCTGAAAAATCAGTATTTTAGGAAAGCCAGATTGACCCCTTTGAAATTCTTGGTTTTAATGTGTATTCTCTGCTAATCTACTTAAGGAACTTTTAATTTGAGACTAAACTAACTTGAAACATTTACATAATCTTGATTATTTTTGTCATTGTTTAGTGGCTTTGGGGGAAAATATTAAAGGCTTTTATTGTTTAGGTTTCTCCCTTAAGTATAAATGAGAAAGTAAGCAAATGGATATTTGGAAATACTCCCCAAAACAAATAGCTTGATTATAGATAATTGTATGCATATGTTTATGTAATAGTCCCACTATTAAAAAACAGGTAAGTTGTTTGTACTAGGGCAAAAAGAAAAATTTCATTATTTCTTGGATACCTTGTTTCATCTTTATAATCTACACATCCTATAATATTTGTGCCTGGGAATGCAGACTGGAGACACGCAGATCAGATCGAGAGTAGCAGTTCTCAACCTGTGGGCCACCATCCCACCAGGGAGTCTAATGACTCTTTCATAGAGGTCGCCTAAGGCCATTGGAAAATACAGATGCTTACATTATGATTCATAACAGTAGCAAAATTATAGTTATGGAGTAGCAACAAAATAATTTTATGGTTGGGGGGGATCATCACAGCCTGAGGAACTGTATTAAAGGGTTGAAGCATTAGGCGGGCTGAGAACCACTGCGCTAGAGCGTTCAAGCCCTAATGAGCATGCTCTAGCCCTAGGAACACGGCACAAGTTTTGAATCCCCGGCTGCTGCACCCTCTCCTACAAAAGACAACGGTGTATAACACCATCAGGTAGATTTAAGGAAATGATGTTGGTACGAGTCCTTGGAAGCATCCCTCAGACACAGAAAACGTTCATCAATCTAACTGCTGATGTAGATGCTGCGAATTACAAACTGTATATCTCAAATGAAGAAATAAAACAACCGAATCTCAGAGGCAGGATGTAACACTTAGCCATAACAGCTCCATTCTCCAAGTTCCCCCAGGAAATTGGGATATTCTCCCCTTTCACTATCTCAGTAGCTACTTTTTCTTTCTTTTCTTTTAGTTGCATGTATCTGTCTGTGTGTGGGTATGTGCACCTGAGTGCTGTGCCCGCAGAAGCTTGGAGAGAAGAAGCCTGGAGCTGGAGTGAGAGGGCATTGTGAGCGGCTCCATGCATGTGCTGGGAACTGAACTCGGGTCTCTGACAAGAGTAGCACATGCTCTTAGCTTCTGAGTTCCCGCCCCAGCCCCTCAGTAGTAATTTTCAAGTAATAGATTCAACTAAGATTCCTTTTCTTTTTTTTTCCTCCATGGGTAACAAACTGTTGTTCATGGTAAACACTGGGGTCTGTGAACTATGCCAGTGGTATGTGGGAACTGTGGGGCTTCGTGGCACTTAAGAACTTTTGGAATGTTCTGGGAGGAGTCACAGTTCTAATCATTTACCTCCCCCATGGCAAAGGTGATGCTGAAGTTGACTGTATTCAAAGTGACAGTGTTGGCTCTGGGGATGTCAACCTAAGCTGGGGTGGAAATGACTCCTGACCCATCCAGAAGGCGCCCCAGTGAGATTTGCCCCTAGCCACAGTGGGGGCTACTTTTGGGAAGTGCTCCTGGGCTATGACCAGGCCTGTTTAGAACCAAGTGTAGAAAGGGTTGAGTGTGGGCATGGGGGTGGGAAATGGAAAGGTAATTCTTAGTCTGGGGCAAGTTTAACGATTTCTGAGAGCTTGGGGAGGGGGATCAGTGGCTCCCAAATTCAGTGGTTCTCTTAAGAATGTGTTCTGGGAGCCCCCTTATAAAACACTAGGAACAACAGAGTGGGTCCCCCACATAAGAATCAATCTTGGTTGATTGGTTGGTCCTAACTTTCCCCAAACCTCAACATTCATCGCACTGAAACCCAAACCTCAGTAAGAAAAGTCCTCCCAGGACTACTGAGATCTCAAGAACAATGGCAATGGGTTTTTGATCCTACTGCATGTACTGGCTTTGGGGGAGCCTAGGCAGTTTGGATGCTCACCTTACTAGACCTGGATGGAGGTGTGTGGTCCTTGAACTTCCCACAGGTCAGGGAACCCTGATTGCTCTTTGAGCTGATGAGGGAGGGGGACTTGGTCGGGGGAGGGGGAGGGAAATGTGAGGCGGTGGCGGGGAGGAGAAAGAAATCTTTAATTAATCAATCAATAAATTAATTAATTAAAAAAAAGAAAAGTCCTCCCAGTGAGGGCTGTGATTACTTCAGAAGGATCCCTGGAGGAAGCCAGTTACCCCTCTGCCCTGCTTCTGTTCTCTCTGAAGTTTGCTAACGTCCTACTAAGTGCTAGAGATGTCTGCCATATTCAACAGAACACACTGTTCTGTTCTATGGCCTCATGCTGCAGCTCCCAACGCTGCAGAAAGGCAATGAGCAAGAACGTCATGCCCTGAGCCCCTCTGCCCACAAGTTTCCCCCAAAACAAAAATAAGAGGATTATGTGCTATTTCTTTTCACCCGAGTTCTGCACACCTAAGGATATTTGAGCAGCTCGGCAGCTCTGGTAGACACACTACTTGCAAGTCTCAGTTATCAACGGGACTGTTTTTCCCTCTAACCCCTGGTGCCTCCTTTATCTTCATGCCCTTTGCAACCTTTCTGTCCCTGCCCATGATCTTGCTGAACCTCTTCCCTGAAACGCGTGGGTCATTCTACAGCTTTCAGGTTGGGGTGTGCTTGAGCTTCCAAGGAGCCGAGGATTAGTGACATGATATGGTGCAATAGGCTTTGCCTGGCTCCTAACGATTGCACAAGAGCCCAATAGACAATGGGGCCAGTATGACCTTCCAAAAATAACCACCGAGGGACGCAGTCCAGCTCCCCGAAGGTCACGTACTGATAGAAGGGATTTGTGGAGCTTGCAGATCACCGGAGCCTTGGGTGTTACTGGGACAATTCACATGAACAGTACAAAGGGCAACTTAGTGGTCACCTAAGAAGGCTGTTGGTGGCGATAAAGTGTAGCACAGTTCTAACCCAGCGGATCAATCTTTACTTTAGGACCCAGTGCAGTCTGATGATATTTCTAGCTTTTGAGTTGGTGGGAGATAGTGGTATGCTAAGAATATATTCCAGGGGTTAGCCGATATGCAGAAAGGATGTTGCGTTAAATGCAGAAGGTGTGTGATAAACCGCTCTTAAGGGGATTAACAATAGCACAGGATGGTTTTGATTATGGATCTTCAATCTTCCAGCTATTCAGTCATGAAGTTCTAGCCAACCTTGTGGACACTTTGACATTGACACAAGTGTCCTATTTTTTTTTTCTGGAAGCTTCAGCTCACAATACTCTCCAGTGTAAATAGGAAAACAATCTCTACAAAGTAATTGTGGTCAACCGACTTCTTCCAGCTATGCTACTGAAGGGTGCCTACCTGCTGTCCTGTGTACCTCAAATACCAAACAAATGTCACACTGCCCTGCTGAATGCATTGTGGACCTGGGATAGAAGTACTCACACTGACCAAACACCCACGCATGCGTTCACTCATACTGTCTTAGGTACTACTGCTGGGATGAAACACCATGACCCCCAAAAAGCTTGGGGAGGAAAGGGTTTATTTCACTGTAGACTTCCAAATCACAGCTCATTGTTGAAGGAAGGTTAGGGCAAGAATTCAAACAGGGCAGAACCTGTAGGGACTGATGCAGAGGCCATGGAGGAGTGCTGCTTACCGGCTTGCTCAGTCTGCTTTCTTATAGAACCCAGACCACCAGCCCAGGGATGACACCACTCACAACAGACTGGGCCCTCCTGCATCAATCACTAATGAAGGAAATGCCCTACAGGTTTGCATACAGCCCAGTCTTCTAGGTGCAAGTTCTCAGTGGAGGTTCCCTCCTCTCAGATGATTCTAGCTTGTGTCAAGTCGACATTACTAGCCAGCACACATACCCACACTCACATCCTCACACGTTGACACATTCATTCACATCCTCACATTCTTTCACACATACACACATTCATTCATATCCATGCACTCACACATACACTTTCATTACATACCTTCATTCACAAACACTCAACACACAAGGCCAACCTGCTTCAAACACTTTCCTCCGGGTTCCCATCCTGAAGGACCTTACCTTGTTGTTCTCACCCACTGTTCTCAATCTGACCCTCCTTCCTGGAGTATCTGTTATCTCCTTGCCTAGTCCTCCTCAAATCTTCCCTCATCCCTGGCTCATTAACTCGTATTTCCAATGAATACTTCCCAAACACTCCAGATCAAACAGGCAAGACACCATCTGTCCCCACTGCTGGCTGCCCTGGAGCTCTGTAGAAGAGGAGTGGGGACAGCTTCAGGCTGGGCATGCGTGGAGTTGCAGTATGTCTTACCCAAGACTGGAGATTGTCAGTTTTCCATATGAAAGACCAAGAGCTGGTGTAGCCCAGTGGTAGAGTACAAGCTTGGCCTGCGTATGGTCC